TCAAGGACTGCAAATTGTACAATTCATTAGACTAAAGACATGTCTACAGCCTTTGTATAGGAGCAAACTCTCTTCTTAATGACATGCTTTTAATAATTTAGCTAAATCAATACAAGGCTAATTCCATTTTTTTAAAAAAAGATCAATCCATGTAGCCTGGTTTATATTTGTCAGTATTTCATCACATTACTTTCAATAGCCACTTATCCGATTCAGGGTCTTGTAACTCAGACCCTATCCAGGGAGCCAATTAAGCCACCAGCATGACTTTGGACTGTGTAGGAAGACCGAACACCCAGAGGAAACCATTATAAACACAGGGAGAACATGCAAATTTCACACAGGTAGCAGAACTGCAGAAATCAAACCTGATGTCCAAGGCAGCAATGCTAACAACTGCAGAAATGTGCCAGCCTATCTGTGAATATTTCTTGAGAGCAAATAGGTGATATGGTACTGTATCCCCAGAGTTAATAAAACCTGTCTCAAATTAGCCAAGCTAATTTTTCACTTCACAGAATCTTTTACAGTTTTTATCTTTGCTTCAAGGAAAACAGTCTTGGGAAAATGGTTCCCAGAAAGAGTTTTCAGAAGGAGTCCAGGCAGTTGAATGAGTCAGCACCTCACACATTAAGAGTTTACAAACAAAGTCAAGGTTGTGTAAAAATACTGATTTTGTTTTCAATGGCTGATCAGAGGGAACCCACCTGTCATGACGGTGTCGAGGTGCTCTCTGTGTGGACAGGTGGGGTGACAGGGCAGGACAGAGGGTCAGGACTGAAGACAGAAGCAAGCATACGGCTAAACTGTGTTTTAATCACTTCATTAATTAAGAAAAGGCCATACTTGAGGGATTTCCTAAGCTGTTCAGTCTTATTTCATAGGCTTCGTCCCAAAAGAAACAGCACTTTGTATGCATTTACATTTTTAGAAAATTCTGTTATAGGTATGTTTACATGCTTTTTTTATGATTATGCATTATGCTTTGAAGCCAAGTATGTACTGTATTTTGGAGTGCCATATCGAAACTATCTGCCTTTAGGTTAACTAATAGCCGACTAATCTGAAATCTAAAAAAAATCCAAATCCCAAAGCAGACCAACAACCAGAAAATTCGAGAAGGGTAGAATATCATGTAATTCTGATGTTCTAATTTTCTGACTCTAATTTTGCCCCGAGCAGCAAGCGTGAACTAATGTTTGCCTGGAC